CCCCAAAACCCCAAAACCCCAAAACCCCGTAATCTAGCAATTTTTAAAAGTAAGATAATAATTGATTCTAAAATTAACCCTTTTATACATCAATTATTAAAGATTTAATATTTTAACTTAACTTTATCATTGACCGTTTAATTAAAATTAGATATTTTAAGTTATTTCATGTACAATCTAAGGTTCATTCAATTAACACGTTTCTATCAGTTGTCAAACTCATCTAATTTGTCGAATTCATTCAAAGCATTCACTAATTGCAATCCTAGAGATTATTTCTGAAGGTCTATCGATTACTGATTAAATCTCATTAAATTCTCCTAGGTCATAGCTGCTGGTTTATTATTTCCTTGATCAAATGCAACTTTCATTTAAGAGTTATCATAAGAATTAAAACCTGCCTAATTTGAAGCAAAAAGTGGTTGGGCTTGATGGATCATATTCTAACCAGGGTAGGGCAATTAAGTCTGCTAGAGATTAGTATGAGAATAAATTTAATTCTACACAAGAGGGGAGAACTAGTATTGTTGCATATACTGTGGAATGAAATGATGATACTGCTATTAAGCCAAGTAATTGTTGAAAAAATCTGGCTGCTAGACTTGTTGCTACAGATTAGCATTTACAAAGGGATTTTGATTTATTTAAGGACTTAGAGTTTGACTCATGTAGGGTTATTACTGCATCATCTAGCTTGGTATATTTAATTGTTATACTTGATTTTAACAGCTAAATTGTTAACTCATTTACTGATGGCATTTACAATGAGCTTAGCAGTCATTCGCAATATATGAAGGTATCTGTTATCTATACTAAAACATCATATTTTGTTGTTACTATTACTGTTGACTGTTTATGTTTCCTGGATTATATTGTGGAGTTTGAATCTAAGAAGAGAATGGTTGATATTAAATGGAGGTCTAATGCAAATCATCTATCTAACTCATATACCTGTTGGACAGAGGCTATTTAAAGTGCTGATTCTGTTATTGTTATTACTACTAGTGCTGCTATAATAGCTATTATTATTGCAGTTACAACTACTAGAATAAAGCTTAATTCTCATACATGCTAGGTGGGTTTTAAATGTTCATCTGAACCATGTTTTACTGATCCAGACTAGCTCGCATTTTAGCAAAAATATCTTACTGCTAGATAAGCATACTTTGCTTGTAAAGGTTAACATCATTTGAATAGTTATGTGCCTGCTTCTCAAAATTAAGCTTTGCTGCTACTTCTTACACTTAGATATTTTGCTAAACGACATTACTATTTACTTTTAACTCGTTCTTTGGGGTTTAGCTATTTGAAAGTGATTGCAGCCTATTAAGGATATGACTCTTCCTCATAGAGGCATATTTACTGCTAGCTTTTTAATCTTCAGACATCTGTATTTACTTAGGACTGTTTTTACCATTGCTATTGACATTTAAAAATTGCTAATTGTTTATCGTGGCTATTCCTCTTGGTGTATGATAAGACTAGTTAAGAAGAACTTGATTGTTATGACCTATTTAGCTGTGAATGTTATTGATGTTGATATGCAAGTTATGATTGATGCTTATCGTCTTTTCATTATCTCGAATTTTCTATCTAGTTTCCTTTAGAAGATTGTTATATTTACTTTTGATAAAGTTTTCATCAATCTTTTCTTCTGATTAGCATATCGTCCTATCCTTAAAAGTATCATCATTTGACTTTGTTGCCGAAGAAGTCGGTAAAATATTGTTATTCTCTTTTCTTGAGGTAATTACTTCTGGAGTAATAAAAGTACTCTAAGTTTATATTTACTAAACTTATTAGTGTTATTCATCCTTAGTCTAATTAGTGCTTTATAAATCTTTAGAAGAAAATATTTCAGGTGGATGATTTGGAACATAAATTATGCATTCAATTTCTTGCTTTGGCTTTTTAATAATCGATTCTTTAGCGTGAATTGAATCTTTTAAATTGATGCTATTAGTTTAATTTTAGCTTTTAATCAGCTTGTTTTAATTTTTACCATTTTGAGAGAGTTTTCTTCTTTGGAACATTGAGCTTTGCTTTGGTACATCAACTTACCTGGGAGGAGATAAATTTTTATTGTTAAGGTTATTGTATGTGGATAAATCTTGCTTTTTAAATGGCTATCTATGATGTGTATCATTAGTTTCATGAATAATACTTTTATTTTCTAATTTGCCCTTTTTGTTATCAAATTTATTTTCAATGTTAGAATTTCTAGGTTTTTTTAGATTGCTTTGCTTTAAATTTTTTGCTTCAATTTTGGAGTTATTTTTATCTGCTTAATCAGCATTTAAATATTTTTTAAAGTTTCCTACATAATGCTGAGACTTGATTGATGTTTAAGTATTATCATTTAATTGCTAACCACTTATATTACTATGCTAGTGGCTTTTTCTCTTCAAATTCTAACTATTAGTTACTAGTTGAGTTTCCTCTTACTTCTATACTTCTTACTTTATTCTCTAAGTGATGTTTTTGATTTTTTCTTTGACAGATGATGGGAAAGTTCCTGGAGAGTTTGGCATTTCCTTCCCCTTTCTATCAGTATTTATCACATTAGCCTCATCTGGCTCAGTAAGTTAAGTCAGCGCCGTTTAATGCTATGAAATATCGTGATGCTTCATTGCGTTTCTATTTTAGTTGGCATTACTCATTTGCTTAGGAAGAGTCTGCATTAATTACTATTAGATTTATCTCAAGTGCTGGCTTTGGTTGCCATCAGTAAAAGTAAGTTGTCTTTTCCTATATACATTTGCATTTTTCCCGTCTTTTTATTCAAGATCCTGTGTGCTGCCTTGAATCAACATTGGAGTATGCTGAACATTTCTATTGCTTGAGTCTGTTCTTTCATTGCTGTAATAAAGCAGACTTCGATTGAGCTTCACATATTCTTTTTGCTGAATTTTATCAATCTAATCAAATAGAAGGTTAGCTTTATCTCCCAATATCCTTTCTAAGCTTTCATTTCTAAAATTACTTGCCACTCTTTGATTGTTTGTGGATTGATTTAATTGATTCTATGATTCAATGAAGTGAAGACCTCTTCTTTTATGATTTGGAGAGACCTTATCATTTATATAGCCTGTTAATGGCTATTATTCTACAGTTGGTGCATTATTGCCAGCCCTTACATTTAGATTATTAATTTTTGATGAGATTCCTTAAATATTATTTGTTTTCTTTGACTGGCCTAAAGCTTGAGTTTAAGGAAGATGGAAGCTCTAGCCTGTTGTAAATGTGCTCTCTTGATGAGTCGCAAATTAACTTCCTGTTTGGTAATGAGATGCTGTTCTTAACAAGTCATCCTCCTCTTAAGAATTGACAAAGTCACTTTCAATCTAATCTTGAGCTTTATTCATCATTGAACCGTTTGCCTAAGTTAAGTACATGTTGCTTGAATTAGCAGCATTTTTCAATAATGAATCTCTTAGAATGATCTAGGGGGAGTTCTGAGTTTAATACTGAGATACTTAGTGATGTCTCTAGGATGGTATGTACTATTGTGCTTTCTTTTGACCTTATTTTGGTTGCTTATAGGTCCCATCTGCTTATTAAGGTGATTTGAAAGTATTTATAAACTAAGTTTTCTGGCCGAACATTTTGATCTGATTAATGTGATTTTAATCCTCAATTTGCTATCTTTAGCTTTGGCTTCCACCTTTGCAAGCCTAGCTATCTCTCAGATTGTTGTTGAAGAGTCCTATAGTCTTTAAAGGACTTGAGTCTCTTACTGTATTAATATTGAAAATCTTAACTCTGGAAAATGGAACAGCCTGAGTTTACCTTGCTGCAGGATTCTGAGATTGAGGACCTTATCTGTTTCTCTGAGTTCCCTTTTTCTCTGAACTGGTTTTAGGTTATTTATCGCCAGAATTAAGATGGCTTTGATTAGTCGATTGCGTCTTTTAATTTTCTTTTGTCATATGCTCATTAGGTATATCTAGCTGAGAATGTTCTGATAGACAGCCATCAAGGGAATCTCTCTCTCCTTAGACCATTGATGTCTTTTTGAAGTTATGCCACTATTTGATCATTCTTTGTCCATCATCCTAATTCAATGAAGCACTACTCTTTGATTATCTTCTCTGATGATTGGCTGAACCTTCAATCTCATACTCACTTGTTCTATTTTTTCCGTATAATAGTGCCATACTTTAGAGCTGCTCTATTTTATTTTTATCAATAGATTGATCTTTAAAGTTAAAATTTCTTCGATTTTAGACTTTGATATTGTTGCTTTCAAAGTAAATCATGCTTTCATTATCTAGCATCTTAATGCCACTTTGATTCATGTTATTATTATTAGCATCATTATTATGGCCCTCACTTGTTTCTGATCGTTTTTTGCTCGCTTTTCTATTATATCTTTCGCTGTTTAGACTTTTTAATGTTTTTACTGACCTTTGAGAAGCTAACACTTAATCTTGTCCATCGTAATGATGATCATTTTAGGACTGACCAAATATCACTTGGGTCTCATTGTTTTAACTGTCACATGATTTAAATGAATCAAGATTGATGTTCTAGGGGTTTTTCTTTTTTAGTATATTAAGTGTCGGAATAACAATAGTAGTCTAGGAATCTTCGTCATTATTTCTTGCTGATATTTATAATTCTTTTTACTTTATAGTGGGAGGTTTTTAGACTCCTTTCTAAATTGATTATAGTAATAAATTATACCTAACTAAACGATATACTACGTTGCTCCTTTATCATTTTTGTTTAAATAATTTTTGAAATTTAATTAAGGTTTTGATCTGTTTTTATATCAGATACTTTGAAATTACCTTATTGGTCTGCTCGGGGTTTTGGGGTTTTGGGGTTTTGGGG